AACTAAACTCAGGAACTAAACTAAACTCAGGAACTAAACTAAACTCAGGAACTGAACTAAACTAAACTCAGGAACTAAACTAAACTCAGGAACTAAACTAAACTAAACTCAGGAACTGAACTAAACTCAGGAACTGAACTAAACTCAGGAACTGAACTAAACTAAACTGAACTAAACTCAGGAACTAAACTAAACTCAGGAACTAAACCACATTAGAATCAAATCAAGGACTAACTCCAGGGTTCCTGGAGCTGTGATTCTTAGAAGACTTGAAGGAGGGGCAACATGACCCTCTGCTCACAAAGGTTCACGACCCGGAACTGAACCACTTTAACTTTGTGGTGACTTCACTGATGCTGTGAACACAACACAGACTCAACGGAACTGAACCATAACAGGATCGTTCTCCGACAATAAAACAAGCTCAAACCTGTACCAGACAACAGATCAAGATTCAAGAGGTTTTATTGTCATTGTACAAGTACACAAGTACAAGTACAACGAAATGATGTTAGGTAGCTGTGTGTGTGTGTGTGTGTGTGTGTGTGTGTGTGTGTGTGTGTGTGTGTGTGTGTGTGTGTGTGTGTGTGTGTGTGTGTGTGTGTGGTTCTCCTGTAGAAGGAGCTTGGGGGGTTCTTCACCAGGTGGGAGGTGTTCAGGGCCCACGTCAGATCCTCTGTGATGTGGATTCCCAGGAACTTGATGTAATTCACACTCTCCACTTCCTCACCATTTATGTGAAGGGGGGGGGGGGGTCTCCCTGGGGTCTCCCTGGTTCTCCTGAAATCCACGATGATCTCTTTGGTTTTTGAGATGTTGAGGACCAGGTTATTGTCAGTGCACCACTCAACCAGATGTGGTTCTTCCTCTGTAGAGCACCTCCTCATCGTCTGAGATCAGTCCTGCTGAGCACACAGCCCTGTGGTGCTGCTGTGTTCAGGCTGATGGTGGAGGATGTGTGCTCGGTGAGGACGTCCCTGAGTGTGATGTTCACCAGTCTGTGTTGGAGCTCAACAAACACAAACACATCCTGGTGTTTGAATGATCCAGACAGAGACGTATGAAGGGCTATAGAGACAGTACCCTCTGTAGATCTGTATATACAGTCACTGTCTTTATATACAGTCAGTGTCTTTATATACAGTCAGTGTCTTTATATACAGTCAGTGATTCTTTATATACAGACAGTGATTCTTTATATACAGACAGAATGTGTGTCTTTATATACAGTCAGTGATTCTTTATATACAGTCAGTGATTCTTTATATACAGTCACTGTCTTTATATACAGTCACTGTCTTTATATACAGTCAGTGATCATCTTTATATACAGTCAGTGATTCTTTATATACAGTCAGAATGTGTGTCTTTGTGTGTTTTGTTGTGTGTGTATATCAGTGTGTTGAATCTCTCAGGTTATAGAAAGTGTGTCTTCGTGCAGGTTGTGAGTCGAGCTGCGTTCTGTCTGTTTCCTCACTGGAGGAGTCTGGGACTGTTTTCTGCCTGGAAACCGTTTTTCATCGACGGACCGCCTGTTTTTCTTTTTCCTTTTTTTTCACTTCACAACCTCGCTGAACTCGGAAATGAAAATGAACTCACATCACCCCTGCCTGCTGCTTCTGTCCCAGTTTTGCCTCGTCTCTCGGAGTCTGTGACTTTATTCGGTTAAACAGCAGCACGTTCACTCTTTAACAAAGTGTTCATGTGTGTGTGAGCTGCAGGTGAGGTGTGAGAGGATCAGTCAGTCAAACACAACCAGAGGAAAACCAGTGACAGTGACGATGGTGGTTACAGTGACGGCCAGCAGCAGCTCCAAGTGTTCACATGCAGCCACAACAAAGGAGCCGGTGCTGGGCCGGCCTGTGTGTGTGTGTGTGTGTGT